GCCTGGTTTGACCAGTCAACGTTGAGCTAGTGTGGAATCGGACATGACAAGGAACTCACCTGGAAATCACCACCAATGATAACAAGGTCAACAGAGTCCCAACCCTTCTCGGTGGCTTGGCGATCCACAGTCTCATAAATGTCATTGAGGCTACCATGACCCTATACAGAATGATTAGCAACCAGCTGCGAAGTGAATATGTCACATGAAGTGGGGGACCTGTATTCGTGCAATATCACTTACACAGCCTTCCACAGCAATTCGCACAGGTGGCATCGTGGATGATCTGACTGAGCTGTGAGATTTTGATAGCGCGAAAAATAAGAAAATCCTCGGAATGAGGCTGTCAGAAAAGAAAAAATCGAATGCAAGCCCTTGCTACAAAGCCGATGAGGACTGCAGGAAAGAAAATGAAAGATGAAAAGCAAGAGAAGAAGGATAGCAGATGGAAAGGGTAGAGAGTAGAGAGATGTAGATGGGAAGAAGCGGCGGGTGGAGCTTGGGGCTTTTAAGCTCCCGCGCGGCAAATCTCTGAATAGCAAACATCGGGCTATTGTCTTCTGTTTGTCTCCATTGTTCTTCGTTTGCCTCTATTGTCTTTGCTATTGAGTTCAATTGTTTGATTTCTCAATACAAATCTTCATTCCTCAATAGGCAAGGCCGTACAATGTCTCACATTGATCCTTCCTTTCTCATTCAGGCTGTCTCGGCTGTCCCCCTCGGTTCGTCGACATCGGCTCATCTGCTAGCGGTGCACACCCGGCTCCTCCACGAGGAGTCTAAGTCATTAAATGCCCAGCAGAAGAGAGATCACTGTGGGGCGTGTGGTAGCATTAGAAAGCCCCAGTGGAGTAAAGTTACTGAGATCAAGCCGAAAAAAAGCAAGCCTTTAGCCTCTGGATCGGCATCTACGGGTGCTACAGTGTACAAGTGTCTACGCTGCTGCCAGCGGACAGTACTACCTCAAAGCAATTCGAGGAACCATATCTCGAAACCTTCGTCTAGAGCAGCTACAGTTACCACTCGAGGGTCAACTCCTATAGGGGTTGACGTGCAAGGTTCAACACAGGCCTCGACAGATCCCAAGGCAGGTGACAACCAGAGCAGCAAGAAGAGGGCTAAGGCAAGAAAGCAAGGTGGTCTTCAAGCTCTTCTAGCTTCCAAACAACGTGCCCAACCATCACTTGATCTGCTTGACTTTTTGCAGTAGAGGTCGTGCACGTGAGTTTGTTGCCAGATTGGGACTAGCGCGGGGCAGCTAGCTTGCCTGCAACTCTAGGCTCATGACGGTGACCACAACACCACACACATCTCCAGCGCGTGTGTCACAGAGCCCACGCGATTTCACTTTCCTATTTTCACAAAACTACATATCCTGTGATTTCATCATCGCGACAATGTCATCTTATTCAGACGACGATGAACATGATCCCCAGGCGGACGAGCTCCGCGAGACTGCCTTGGTCACGCTCGAGGCGTTGATCAGCTCCTGCAACAAAAAGATGCAACCGTACCTAACCAACACCACTCGATCAGCTCTTCGATTTTTAAAATATGATCCAAACGTCGCTGAAGTGGAGGACGATGAGGAGATGGGAGGTACACAAGATGATGGGAGTGAGGACGATGATGCCACAGAAGAGCCTGACCTGGAAGACGACGACGAATTCGAGGACTTTGAAGAAGAAGGCGGCTACAGTGATATCGACGACATGAGCTGGAAGGTACGCCGGTGTGCTGCCAAGCTTCTTTACACCGTCATCTCGGCCTACGGGCTTGGTCGCGCTTCCGACTCCTCGGCCCTGTTCCAGCAGATCGCCCCAGCTCTGATCTCCCAAATTAGCAAAGAAAGAGAAGAGAGTGTGAAACTTGAGGTGGTGTCGACATTGACGGCGCTTGTTCGGAAGACTGGCGAGGGGTCCATGATCGTCACATCCAACGACTTCCTGGAGGCCGTTGGTGGCTCGAAGAATTCTCGCAAGCGTAGACGCCAAGACAGTGATGCGTCAATGATTGACTTCGAGCCGAGTGCTGGAACCTCGTCCGCAATGGATTCTCCTGCTGTGCCATCGTCCCCCAAGTCTGGTTCTCAGGCTGATCTAGCTCGCTCTGTGCCTTTAATTGTGCAGAACCTTGTCAAAGCTTGGAAGCAGGCTTCGGTTCCTCTCAAACAAGCTGTGATGATTCTCCTCAAAAGCCTTTCGTTGGTTCGCTATGGTGGTCTTGCAGACCATCTCCAACAAATTGAAGACCTTATTGCGGATGCCCTCAAGACCTCATCCCTCTCAGGGAGCACAGCGGCTCATACCGGGGCTGCCGTCAGTGCAGGTACCCTCCAAATCGAAACCCTGGGTCTCATTTCAGTGATTGCCGAGACCCATCTCTCCGACGCGCTATTGCCATTCCTGATTGCCCTGGTGCCTGGAGTGATCGGAGCTGTCAACGACCGCAACTACAAAGTCAGCAGCGAGGCTTTGGGGGCTGTGGAGCAAATTGTAAAAGCAATGACGCCGCCCCGCGTATCTGCCAATCCTTCCGATGTCACCCTGCAGTTGCAGAAGCTTTATGATGTTGTCCACTCTCGAATCACCGACACAAGCGCTGATCTCGAAGTCCGGCAACGGGCAATTCATGTGTTTGGTGTCATCCTCGCACGCACTTCAGGCGACCGGGGTGCAGAGTTCCTTTCATCTGAGAGGAGATCTAATGGTCTGGCTGTTTTGGTCGACCGAGTGAAGAACGAGACAACCCGTTTGTCCGCTGTTCGTGCGATTGATGATGTCGTCGTTCTCGCTAGCCGCAAACAGGATGTTTCTAGTGATTGGGTTAACAATGTCGCCCTTGAGCTAGGGTCGAACTTGCGCAAATCCGATCGTGCCTTGAGAGGCGCGTGCTTGGAAACTCTCCGCAGTCTTTCCATGAACTCTAACATCAGATCTCACCTCACCCCTGAGACAATCACAGCACTGGAGAATGCTGCTTTGCCTCTTCTCGCTGCAGCTGATTTCCACACACTTACGCCCACGTTGATCATTATTGCCAAACTTGTCCCTGGCAACGCAAAACTAATGGTGACCAGCGGTTTGATCTCTGCTATCTGCTCGATTGTGACCAAACCACTCATCGGAACTGTTCTCAAAGCGTTGCTTCTGCTGGTCAAAGTCATTGGCGACGAAGGTGCAGGTGCTAGTTTGATGCAGAATCTTCTCCGTGACGTGGGAATTACAGGGGACTCGTCAGTGGTCGGAAGAGCTGTTGGCACCCTTCTGGTCCACGGTGGACCGAATCTTGGAGTCACAATGGAAGATTTCTCAACAGAACTCAAGACTGCACGGGATGTTAGCCGAAAATGCCTTGCCCTTGCTATCCTAGGCGAAATCGGCCTGCGAATGGGCCCCGCGTGCCCGTTGACTCCGAGTCTCTTCATTCCTCATTTTGAATCTCAGTCAGATCATGTGCGCTTGGCTGCCGCGACTGCTCTTGGCAACGCGGCCGCAGGTAGCGTCAAAGCTTATCTCCCAATCATTCTGAATGGGTTGGAGAAATCAAATGCTCAAAGCTATTTGCTTCTCCATTCGGTACGCGAATTACTTCAGCATCCAGAGGTCGTACGTCCAGATCTTGCACCATCCGCTCACAAATTGTGGCACGCCCTCCTTGTCGTCTCCGAACAGGAAGACAACCGCGCTGTTGGGGCTGAATGTGTCGGCCGCTTGGCACTCCTTGACCCCGTTGCTTACATTCCCCACTTCCAAGTAAGTCGTGCTCATCCTGCTACATTTTTAATACTAACCTCATGCCCATAGGAGTACCTGGCCAATGCCGACCCGGCTGTTCGTGGCGTGGTGATTTCGGCATTCCGTTACACGCTTGCTGATTCAAGCGATGCTTACAATGATGTGCTGCGACCGTTGATGGTGCCCCTTTTGACCAACATGCTCAGCGACAGTGATTTGGGCAACCACCGGCTTGCGTTGACCACTCTTAACTCTGCAATCCATAACAAGATGGATCTTCTGCTCCCTCACCTAGATGAGCTTCTGCCGGCTGTTCTTGGTGACACCAAAATCAAGCCAGAGCTCATTCGCGAGGTGCAAATGGGTCCATTCAAGCACAAAGTGGATGATGGGCTCGATTTGCGAAAGGTCAGTGTCTCTTACTATCCACCCTAGATTCCACTAACATCATTGTTTACAGAGTGCCTACGAAACCCTTTATGCCTCGCTCGACACCTCCTTCTCCCGTACCCATACGGCCGAACTATTTGACCGCATCCTCGCTGGTCTCGATGACGAACAGGACATCCGTGCAATCAGCAATCTCATGACCTCCAAACTGATTAAGATCGCACCGGAGGATACTGAGCGGCACCTAGACGCTTTGTCGGAGCATTACACTACTGTGCTTTCCTTCAAGCCAAAGGACAACGCCGTCAAGCAAGAGTTGGAGAAGGCCCAGGAGGCATCCCTCGGAATTCTAAAGATTACCCGAGAGCTGAGCAAGGCGTTCCCCGGCCCGGAGGCATCAGGCGATCTTTCTAAGTGGAAAACATACATGGATTGGCTTCGGCGGAACTTTACATCGCAGTTGGCGAATTTGGAACTAGAATAGTTTCTATGATTTTATGTTATGAAAAGCGCAATGACGAGCCATTTGTCGCAATTAGCTAGCTTACGACATTGTCCAATGAAATACATGATTTTAACATTGCTACACTTGCGATTTTCGCCTTGTAAATATACCTGTGGAGCACCCTCGACTATTATAGCTTTTAAGATCAGTATCACAGGCTTAAACCGCCTTGATTCTAATAGCAGACCCCTCACCCAGTGCCGTATAGTAGCGTTTTCTCCTAGGGTGTCTCTCTCAAATTTCAGACTATTAGGAATATCCATTATAAGCATATTCAAAGATCTTGATTCAGTTCCCTTCCTATACATTATCATTATCTCCAATCAATAACCCAGTTGCTCGCTAAGAAAACAGTCATTTCACTTCATTCACTCTTCCTCGCTTTTGATCGGAGTCGTCTCAGGCGTAAGCTCTCCAGGAAAAGGCTTGCGCGCCCACACACGTCGTCTAAACAAAAATCGGCTTATCAATCCCCCCAATACCACACCACAGGATTAGGATCAAACTCACGCTCTCTGATAAATATGATATTTCGGATTCTTAAGTTCCGAACGAACCTTCGCCAAAAAAACAGTAACCTCATCCTTCGACCAAGGATGCGGCGCACCGAAATGTGTAAGCAGCCACATACACCACCCCTCCATACCAGAAAGCCAATGCTGGAAATTAACAACGCCAGCCTCTTTGTATTTCTGCTCGCGAGCCCACGGGCCAATCGGCCACTGGTACGACTTCTCCTGCAAATCCACAAACCCGGCCTTTTTCATTCTGTCGCTCATGGCATCGAGAATATCCATCGCGAGTCCGGCGCGCTCGCCGCACGCGTTCATGGTCGGGCCCCAGGTTCGCAGGATGCTATCTGCTGGCAGGCTGTCGTCGATACATTCGATGCATGTACTGCCTTCGAGTTGTTCGATCCAGCCTCCTGGTCGTAGATTTCTGCGGTACCCCTGGTGTTAGTGCATATGCTTGCGGATATGGATAGTTAGGTGTTGGCATTTACCTGTAGGAGCTTGTGTAGACGTGATCCCATCCCGCGTGATCGAATGAGCCGGTCATGATCCGCATGTGGATTAGGTCGAGGGGGTCTCTCCAGGTCCATTCTTCTAGGATGTTGTCGACTTCTAGGATGCAGTTCGGCGGCATCCATGTAATTGGGGGTGGGAAGAGGTCCACTCCTCGCACAGTCGCTAGATGGGGTTAGTTCACTGTATTGTGGATCTCCGGGGTGATTGGCACTCACTAGATGGGAACATGTCGGCAACATCACTATACAAGTGGTATATTGGTGTGAGTCTTGTCTATAAGGAGGGGGTTTTGCTCTTTTGACGTACATCGCCCAGTTACCTTTACCCGTTCCGATATCGAGGATATGTTTGGGGTTCTTCTCGATAGGCGCTCTAAACAGCGGGTTCTCTCGCTCCGAATCCAATACGAGGGCGAGCAAGTGACTGAGAGTGTCAGGGGTGATAATGACATATAGAAAGGTTGGTCGTACGTACCCGGCTTCATAGGACTCGAATGCTAGGTCATCGGACGGAATCCTGGTGAGAATCGGACATAAGTTGGCGGTTTCTTTGGTGGAAGATGCTATAGCATGCATACAGATATTCTCTGTCGCTCAGAGTTTGATACCTATGGATAATAAGTACATGTGAGTAACGGGTCGAGCTCCCAGGTGCGCCAAATGTAGGATGAAACATACCGTCTGCCATTTTCCATTAGGCCATGATAGATTGAGGAACCGATAGACGTGGTCTCCCTATGTCATATAGTGTGAGACATCGATGACATTGAATGGGGGAAATGCGAGTATTTACGAATGCCAATCATCGCTATAGTTTGGTCGGAGGTAGACGTCAGGATCCTATAAATTGTTAGAATAGCAATGAGAATGACTGATAACTAGATGAACATACCACTGCGATCTCTAGTAGTTGCGGCATTGTTCGGTGTCTGGTCCCTCGGGATGATGAAAAGGGGTAAAGGGAAGAGGTTAAGGGGCTGTTGAAATACACATTAGTACTTTGTACTAATGTACAGACATCATTCAAAGGTCACCCGGTTGTCCCGTCATTTTGTAGCAGCTTCAATACCTGGGATTGGGTAATGGGAGAGACATACACCGTCATGCTCCACGGTTAAAGCCTGAATGAGGGTTGATGCAGTCTTAGCTACAACGTGCGGAGGTTCCCGTCGACGATCATTGGGTTGACGTTGACAGGAGTGGACCAACCCTGGAAGGCTACATGTGTGAGATTCTCTAGCCTTGTTTTATTCGTACTTCGTCTCTACTATGGGAGAGGACACAGTGAGGAATTCAACGCAAATTTACTCTTAGGAATGCGCTTTATAAAATCGAATAGGTAACTATCCTAGATATAGTACACATTATGTCTTGTATATTGTTTTTCAACTTTGTTTTCCAGGAGAGAGTCCAAGAATTATGGGACGGAAGTGTGCATTATGCGGGTTTAGCAGTTAGCCCTCGAGGGGTGGGGTTGTATACATGTCGAAATGAATGTGGCCTAGACCTGCAATTGTATTTTATACAAACATTGCACCTTCAAGTTTGGAATATATTGACAGAGATACCAAGGGTATGTGGAGTCTGATATTGGAACTATAGAACCAGAGGGAAGAATGATAGTGTTGTTGAGACGGGGTTCTCGATCATAACAGTCAATGGAATTTGCCTATTGTCCTAATTGATTTAGGCCCGCACTGGACCCCTTAACATCCGAGTAGTCGGCTTACTAACAATTCGTCTTTATGCTGCGGATATAGTTAGGTGTTCACTCTTAAATATATTTAGGCCATAGAACTTTCTAAATCCTAAGTCCTATTTAATAACAAGCTGAGAAATATTATCCCTCTCTTATTTGGAAACCCGAGGATTATGATTGGTGGGGCCTCGGCTGTTTAGGTCTCCTTATGAGTGGCGTCCAAATTTTCCTTGCTGTTTCAGAATTGAAGTCCCGAGATATTCCCAGTCAAAGTTCAGGCTTCTGTACCCCAGAGCGGCACGGAAGCTAAACTATGATCATCATGTGCTTGGGATTAACATTTTCACTTCTTCCAGTCTCCATTATGCTATGCCTACATAGTTCTTTTCTCGCACAAAAACAATGAGATCATCTGTAAGCCCGTGGCTGCCAACGCACCCAAATTTAAAACCTGCTTGTATGGGCTGTAGTCTAGACTCTTGGACAGAGTGGCTCAGCCTCCTGTGCGGGATACGGAGGAATCCGTAAGCGAGTCAGCAGAACCAAACTGGACCCTGAAGAACTCCTGAAGAGCTACGGAGTATTGTCGCCCTAAAAATGCGGGAAAATCGGAGACTCGGAAGGTGTGATATTGGATTGGACTGGATTTTTATTTTTGGAATTGGTTCGGAGCTGTCTGTTAAAATTTCCCCTTTCGCCGGGTTCTATTTGGCCTTCTTATTCTTTTCCCCTTCTCTTCCTTGTATTTACCGTTCATTGTCTTCCACCGTGGTGACCTTTTCTCTATATTGTCATGCCTGAGATCGGCACAAACTACATATATAAATTAACATGGGCTACAGGTTCATGACCCGAGATGGCTCGCGCAATATACTACGCAAAGCTATCTCCCCAACCTTTTGGTTCGATCATTGTTGGCCAGTCTCGCGCAAGTATTGGTTCTCTCTGTTGTTCATCGCCGTGATCTGTGCCAAGATTCTTCACATCTACTCGCATCTGAACTCATTATCTCCCGGAGAATTGATGATCTGGGGCCCGACATTCTTTTTACAAGATGTAGTGTGTGTATCATTCGCTCACATCCTGTGTGCTGATTACCAGCGCCGATGGGCACGTGTCATAGCGGCCTTGTTGGTGGTCCCAGTTAGGTACGAGTTCCCATGGGGTTGAGTGAGACCATCGCTAAGTGAATTTCTTGGGTAGTTTGACAATCTCCGGTCTATCAGCCGCCAATATCTCCTTCTACGTCGCAACAGGAGCCGAGATCCACTGGAAACAAGCGCACAACTTCCACGGCGACAAGGCTGCTGTCAAAACACTGCTCACTGGCTTAACGGGTTTAATCATCGTGGAGGTTGTCTTCGTTGCCGTATCCTGTTTCTCAACCCCACATCTATACAACTGGACCAAGGGAATTGCGTCAATCTTTAGGAGTGTTCTGCCGTCCGCCTGTCGCAGGAAACAAACTTCTCCGATCTTGAAGAGCTATGAGCGAGTCGCACCCGAGGACTGGGATGAGGGTCGAAGTGCTACTGAGTTGACCTCGGGCTCTCAGGAAACAACCCAAGCAAATTCAGGGGAATCTCCGCGATCTCCTTGGCTGCGGGTCTTTGTTCTCGCATTCACTGGCCTTGTGATTATTTTGCGTTGCATTCGCCCTTCAAATGCCGCCTATAGCTTTCTATCTGATACTGTCATTGTCACACCGTTCGACAAGGATCAGTCTCGCGCTCCATCATCGGTTAATTTACCTGAATTGACAGGTGATTACAGTTGGCTGGGAAATCACACAGCCCTGGCAGCACCGCCCGCATTTGACTGGCTGCCACAGGATAAACTGGCCGGGTTCAGTGACTGGTATGAAAATGCCAATCACACTGCGCGCCTGCATTATGATCCAGGACATGACCCCATTCATATCTCCAACCTTGAAAATGAAGTCCTGGAGCCTCTCCGCAAGGCTCTCCAAAGCGGCAGTGTCAATATCAAACACGTGTTACTTCTCAAGCTAGAAAGCACTCGCGCAGACGTCTTCCCACTTCGCAAGGAATCCTGGTTTGGGGACGTGATTCGCGAGTCATACAATGGCCAGATCCCTGCTGAGGTTGAAGAAAGGCTAGCCAATCTAACACCCACCGCAGAGAGACTAACAGCTACTTCTTCCGGGTTCAATGGAAACGATACTGTACAGGCTTATGGAGGATTCCATGCTACCAACGCTTATACAGGCGATACCTTTACCTTGAAGAGTATCCTCGCGACTGTATGCGGTATCGCTCCCTTGGTCGTGGACTTCAATCGCGAATACCTGTACCACATCTACCAACCGTGCATGCCGCATATCCTGGAAGCACTCAACGCTCAGGCCAACCGGACCAAAACGGAGGACTATACCACTTGGCCATGGCGATCCACATGGATGCAGTCCATCACTGACGACTACGACAACCAAGACCTTCTCACACCTGCGTTGGGCTTCAAGCACAAAGTAACCGACATCAACATTTCCGAGGATCGCGCCAAGCAGGGTGGTCCTCAACCAGTGAAGTACAATTTCTGGGGGTATCCCGAAACAGAGCTTGGGGATTATTACCGCAACGCAATCAAATCGGCGGAGAAACGGAAAGAACGACTATTCATTTCGCACTTGACTGGCATTACGCATCATCCTTGGGATACACCAAATCACAAGTACGAAGAATTGATCAGTCACGGCTGGCTGGGCAAGAAAAATAAGGTAAATCGCTACCTCAATACGCTTGGTGTTGCAGACAAATGGCTCGCCGAGTTATTGGGCATTCTGGAGGAAACGGGTATTGCTAACGAGACCCTGGTCGTGATGGTCGGGGATCAGTAAGTGCCAGCCAAACTCCATCATTCTCCGATCGATTGAATCTAATCCCAACAGCGGCATCTCACTCCCCGAGAACAGCGGCGTTACCCCATACGACAACCCCCACATCTCCAGCTTCCACGTCCCTCTAGTCTTTGCCCACCCCCAACTGCCACCAATCGAGATCGACTCCCGAGTAACCTCAATGCAAATCCTCCCCACAATTCTCGATATCCTATCCGAATCCGGATCCCTCGACAAACAAGCAAAATCCGCCATCCAAGATCTCCTCCCCCTCTACGAAGGCCAATCAATGATCCGACCCACAATCCCAGAAAAAGACGGAAAGCAAGACTGGCAATTCTCAGTCATGAACACCGGCGGAACATGGCTTGCCCTGCGTTCCGCTGCGAAGCCGTACCGTCTCATCATACCACTTATTCCTGACGTCGAGTGGAGGTTCTCGAATGTAGAGATCAACCCCCATGAACTCCAAGCACTGCAGGATTTCAATCTTTTGGATCTTATGAATATGGTCTTGCCTGAGCATGGAGAGGATGCTGTGCAGTGGATTAATGACGCGGCCCACGTGGCGAAGTGGTGGGTTGAGGAGAATTGGCGGCGCTATGAATATGTGCCGTGATTCCTTCAATCTCGACTCTGTGTTTCTATATAATAAGGGTTGTACGTCGGCTGTGAGCACGTACTCGACAGCCCTGCTGAGAAAGAGAGCATTGCTTGTCTCGGACTCGGATATAATACTAAGAGTGACCGGCTTGCCCCGATATAGCCCTATGATCCTGACACCCGTCAGGGAAAGGCTGGTTTTTTCATATTACTTGAACCCATGGCAGAGCGAGATCTCCGGGGATTTCCTCTTCACCGGGACCGTTGCCAGGGAGTATATATACTGAACCGGACATTCGACCCATATCATGATAGTAATCTGCATTTACAAGCGAAGCATGTAGCATAACTTTAACCTCGATTTGCATATCCATGACAATATACATGAAAGTCCTTTTAATAAACCGTACAGAGTAGATAGTGGAGATTTCATACATAGTGGAGAGCTTTCTTCTCACGATAGGACAACCTGTAAGCAGCATAGTGTCCCGAGATCAATGGATATAGCAGCTCGTATTCTAGGAGCGCCCTTCCAAGACATCTTTAGAAACATGTCCACCGAAATTGAGGAATGGATGCTCTATCAGCTCACGAGCAGTTTTTCTCTCCGATGGAATCCACGTGAGCATATCCCTAGCAAATGACAAGAAAAGCTCCCTTTCCGAGTCATCAAGAGATAGGATTGTATCCTTCAGTTTCCTACTTGGTATGAGTTCCTCGTGAAGGAATTTCCCTAGCGCCAACAATCAGCCAAGAAACTCATACGCCGAGTAAAAAGACTTACCTTCTTCATCGAAGTAAGGACCACCAAAGAGCTCCCGGGCATTCTTGGACAGCTTTCCCGCCTCAATCCTAATTGGTGTAGGGTAGTCTACCTGTGACATATGGTCTGCTCGCTCAATTACCCCCTTAGGTGGTGGACCAAGCAGAGCGATCATTTCTGCCAGATGTGATTTGGCATCATATCGACCGTTAGCATCTTCAACCTGAGTAAACAGCTCCGTTCCTTCGATAATGTTCCAAACCTTTGAAAGCAATGGGTTAATCTTGACAGGATGAATAGGCATTCGAGCGGCTTACAAGGACACCAAAGTTCCATATATCTGCGCTGAAATCCCATCCATAGCCAAGGACAACCTCCGGCGCACGGTAGTAATTCGGTTGTATAGGATACGTAAGCACGGCTTCGTTTTGTGACTTCGTTTCTGGGTTAACAACGAATTGCCATACTGAGCCGAAATCGGTTATTCTCGGAAGTATATTCCCGACGTCCTCAACGTCTATTGCCCCGAAACCGTGATAGCTTTGGTATATGGTGTGATTGGTTATTGGATTAGTCTTATAGTATATAGGGAGCTTGGTGACTTGTTCTTGAATGAACCTTAGGATAGCTTCTTATTCTCGAAGGTCATTAGGATATTCACGAGCTTCAGATCTAGAGCGACTTTGCCGATTAGCAATATTTTTCTCTCTCGTAACATTGCTTAAATCGAATATCACTTACCAGTATGAACGATTCTGCACTCGGCGTGCAAATACTGCAGCCTAATAAGAAGTAATTGAATATATGCCTTTACAATCGGGAGAGGAATTATTCGGTTCTTAAAGCGTTTTTGAAACATTGACATTGGCTCTCGCATTGCCTCATATATAAGGTAAAGATGCGGTTTGTCCGATGTCTTAAGCTCAAAGCTTTCTAGGCAGCTGCGTGTAATATGATAGCCCAGATGTGAAGGGTTCTTTTGGGCAACAGTCTCCTCGATACCAAGAAGGTCAATCGCAGATTTAGCGTCACAGCTATTCGAAATCTTCAAAGCAACTGTTCGCTCGGACTGCCATCGATATCTGGTAATTCAGCAGCTCCAATTAGCCTCAGACAGGATTGGCGTAGAACCAAAACTACCTTGTAATATCTCGCGCTAGCCATACGGTCGAACTCGTGCCCCAACCGATCTTCGCTAGCAACTGGTAGTTATTGCCAAGTCTCGCCCGGTCTTGCTGGATAGTAGTGTTGGGGAATGTAGTTCGGACATCTTTCTTCATCGACGACTTCGTGGCTGGGTATGGCAAAGGTAGGGCATGTAGGAGGGAGGTGGAGTGGGTTCGTACGGAGCGGAATGAATGCACGCTTTGTGACGCGACTTGTAAACCGTTGGCCAATCATAGTGAAGTGTCGGGGAACAATTTGGCTTCAAGGAATTGAAGCTTGGAAGCTTCTTTTCGGGACGGTCCGGTGCCCCACTCTGAGGATTGGAAGGAGCTTCTAGGGTTGGTTGTTCCAACTCAATGTCAATAAGTTAATGAAGGTTCTAGACTGCTTTACTTAAGATGTGACGGAACACTCAGGTAGGGGGAAAGTGTGAATTAGGAAAGAGCAGCCTGAAACTTTGTTTTGATTTGACTAAGCTGCACCCCTGTCTCTTCACTCACCTGACCTTTGCAGTGTTAGAGTATCGCGATATGTTGTTACATATCAGCTCAAAGGCTTGATTTCTATTTTGTCCTATCTATTCTAAATATTTGAAAGAGTCCAAGCCCGTGAAGCTCTAGTTGTAGCCAATCAGACAATCCTCCGGCCCCCGGGTATGAGCACTTCGCTACCAAATTGAAGGCAACTCTCCATCTGAAAGCCGGGCGAGCCTTTCCTCGCTGAATTGGAAACATTCTGGCAGCCCCGTTTCATCCCAGGTCTTGCCAAGTACAAGTTGGGCGACAGTCGGAGCGCATGTAAATATCCGGGCCATACCTATTACCAGTCAGCACCTCCGCTTTCAAAACGTAGTAGAGCAAAAGCAAAACTTACCATGGCCATTAAATCCAGCACAAATATACTGCCCAGGGAGGGAATCGATTGCCCCGACGAACGGAACAGAGTCCGTAGTCATGCCAATTATTCCAGTCCAAACATGATCCAGGCCCTCACCGTGCATGGCAGCCTGGGATGAATAAGCAGGAAACATCTGACTAAAAGTTCGCAAAGCTTCTTCGGCAATTTCTTCATTATACCGGGAATCATCAGTGCTGAATCGACCAGCCCTTGTCTCAGCGGTCATTGTTGGGTTTGATCGCGATACGCCTAGCACCATTGTACCATCTCCCTTCCGTTGAATCAAGGAGTAGAAGTGGAGGAGACTATAGCGGAGCGAGAAAGTGCTCTGTAGAGCCTTTTCCCCAGAGAAAGCTGGAACAGGCACGATAGAGTGAGCCTGCGCGCGGTTTGGCCGAATGTAAGGCTCCAACTGCGGTAGCAACAAGGCAGCATGGGCATTCGTGCAATGAATGATTTTCTCTGCTTCTATAATTCCCCGAGGTGTGTGTATCTTCCAGGTTTCTGTGCCACTGCTCCGTTCAATTTCAGTGGCGGGACAAAACGTGAAGAGCTTCGCACCCTTGGATATCACTGCCTGAAGAAGAAACTGTGTAAGCTTTGCCGGGTGACTTGAGCCTGCTGGCCATTCATAGGCCGCTACAGCTCCGGGGACTCTGGTCTTCTTCTGTGCCTCTTCCCCTTCATAGAACGTGATGTGCGAGGTATCACCGCCTGCTTTCTTGAACGCTTCCAGGCTCTCTGCCTCGTAAGCCGCAAATTCAGGGGTCATGCAGACATCAAACGTGATTGTCAAGTTGAAGTCGCATTCCACATTATGCTTTTTGACAAATTCATCGACTTTTTCTAGGACGAGTCGCTCATCCTGGATGATCTTCAACGCTTGTTGCTCTCCATGCACTTTGGAATATGCACTGAAACCCCGAAAGGCATCTATTTTCCAAGTCAGAAATGGCCGCAATAACCCCAAAGGAAGCCTGACAGACCTGGTCGCACATGTCCAGCATTTCGTGAACTCGCACCACTGGCAGCCTCTCGCGCCTCGAGAATCACGATATCCTCGGCCTTGGCCCCTCCTTCGATCAGCTTGAAGGCCGTCAAACCGCCAGAAATACCAGATCCCACGATGACATATTTTGAGTTCGATGGAACAGTTGCATCGATATTCGCATACAAATGTGGATATGCTCGAGTTGTTCGCTGCCAGTAACTCAAGCAAGGAGTGGGATTTGGCAGGCTTCTGCTTGTCGCGATATTTGGAACCAACATTTCAACCAATTTGCAATGAGTCAAGATTTCCGTAAATCCTTGAGAATATATATAGCTCTGTGTGAGAGAGTCTCGGGTTCACCGCTGTCGGCGCAGACATGCGGGGAAGCTGTGGTTCTCCTATCACGGACTTCCACCCGAAACCTTTTCCTCTCCTCTCTAGAGCTTCTGATTGATAGGATTATTCTGAGTTTAACTTATCTCCAAATTCATTTGTGAAAAGTGGGGTGAATAGCCAACATGTCTGGTATCTTGTATATCAACGAGTCCGGCATTCTTCCGATGTCAATAGAGAAATACAACCATTGGTGCGAATGCGCGCATCTCGCAGAATCCTTATCGGATTTAGAACCCGAAGCCTACTTTGTCCACATTATATGACCTATCTCTGAGGGGTTGCAGGGAGCTTATCACAGCTTGGATCTGCATGGGCTTGTATATGAATAGCCAACGTCGCAAGAATCCTGGTTTTTCTCTCATCCCTGTCAATCCAGAATCATGGTCTCCTTCAAAATGTTTCGTCGCAAAGCGTCGACAAATATCGATTCCCGCTCTCCAGAGGAGAAGGCCTTGGTCCGGCGCCTTGACATGTTCCTGATGACTTTCGGCTGTCTTTCACAGGGTGCGTTGGCATACAGATCCCCCCACAGCTTGAGATCGGCAAAACTGACTTCTGTCAGTTATCAAATATCTTGATCAACAGAATATCAACAATGCCTACGTGTCTGGCATGAAAGAGGATCTGAACTTGCTCGGAAATGAGCTCAATCTGTGAGTTGCCCTAAACATCCATACTTCAGAATTGTTCATGGCTAATACTGTCTAGATTCACAACATACTTCAACGTCGCCTACTGCGTAATGCTAATTCCCTCCCAAGTCATTCTCACCTACGTACGCCCAAGTTATTGGCTACCAGGCTTGGAGATTGCATGGGGTGTTCTGACCGGTTTGGTCGCAATGACGACGAGCGCGAAACAAGTCTACATCATCCGTGTCTTCCTCGGTCTATGCGAAAGTAGCGCTTGGCCAGGAATGATGACATTATTCAGTATGTCATCCAAATGCCTTTCCCTTGACCCGAATTAACCCACCCTGCAGTGCACTGGTATACCCCAACCGAACTCGCCAAGCGAATGGGTTTCTACCACTCCTGTCAAGCAGTCGGGCAAATGCTCTCGGGCGCCATGCAAGCCGCAATCACAGATACTCTTGACGGGCATAGCGGCCTAGCAGGATGGCGCTGGCTATTCGTGATCAACGCCATCATCACGGTAATCTGGGGATTCGCAGGATTCTTCATGCTCCCCGATCTCCCGAACAGGCCCAACCCCCGCGCGTTCTGGTTCAAGAAAGTCGACGGTGAGCTTTCGCTGGAACGCCTGGCGCGCAACGGCCGTGCCGAGCCGAAGAAGATGACCTGGGCCGGCGTGAAGCGCACGTTCTCTGGATGGGTTGTTTACTTCATCGCGATTCTATACATCGCGACTGTTCTTGGAACATACGGATATGTTTATTTCGGGCTGTTCCTGAAATCGCTGAAGAACCCAGACGGGAGCGCGAGATGGACCGTCTCGCAAGTCAACGCTATCCCCATCGGAGGATCGGCGATCAACGTGGTGTTCGTGTGGATTTGGGCCCTGTTATCTGATTACTTTGAAACCCGTTGGGCACTCATCGTTATTCAAGCGGTTATCGGGATAGTCCCGTGTATCATCATGAGCATTTGGACTACACACCCGCTGTCGGTCGGTTTGTCTGCTGTTTATGCATCATACTTCATCTCGTATATCTGTCTCGGCACGGCGCCGTTGATCTTTGCCTGGCTTTCTGATCTTATCCCGCAGGATCCAGAAGCGCGGTCTCTTGTGGTCGGCGTCGCTGTTGCTGGGTACTATGCCATCTCCTCGTGGTCGCAGGTTCTCGTCTGGCCTGCGAGTCAGGCACCCTTCTATAAATATGGGTGGCAGTCTGCCTTGGCCTTGTTGGTCCTTGTGATTATTATGACGAGCATTTTGAGGTTTGTGGATGTGCGGTACCTCCTGCCAAAGCGCGAAGAATTCCGCGCTGTGCTGGAGGAAGATATCGTTGCGGGCAAGGGGGCTCCAGATCCGATCGAGGGTCGGCATCGGAGAGATGAAAGCCCGAAGGTTGCTACATCAAATGTGCATGAAGTTTAGCCATGGAGCTCTAATGAGCATATGATTACTAGTGATCTCGACGGCCCAAGGCCTCCAGATAGTCGTTGCAGAGCGAAGCGACTGATTCCAACTTTTAATGCTACGCAAAGCCCCCCTCTTACTGGCTTATTCTCCCCCCTGCGCCTGTAATTTCAGTATCGCGTTCACAATTAGGCATATGGTAGTAGTATGGCAGTAGGTACCTACAATTTGTATGTAAACCACTAATAAAATAAGTCCCTTTTGTCATATCATTATTAACTGCTTAATTAACTGCTTTATCGTCAACTACTTTATCGTCAACTACTTTATCGTCAACTACTTTATCGTCAGCTACTTTATGGTCAATTACTTTAGTAACTACTTAAGCAACCACTTGAGAAACTGCTTAAGAAACTGCTTGAGAAACTGCTTGAGAAACTGCTTGAGAAACTGCTTGAGAAACTAACTAACTAGCCTAGTGCAGTGGGGGTTTCCAGAGCAGGATGACTAAGCGGCTATGTGATAACTATAAAAGCACTCCCGAGGCATAGTTAGATAGCAACGCAGACACCTTTCCACTTCCATTCTCAGTAGTCACCCCATGGTGTTCTCCTCTCTAGCACCCTACTACTCCCAGTGACGACTCTGCTCTCACACCTGTTTCGCAGACCCCTCTTCACTAACCAGTTAGTTATACTAGCACGTAATAGAAATTATCGTCTAGCCAGATTAGGCCTAGTCTATTTATTTTGCCGGTTGGATTATTCTGCCAAAGTTAGCCGATTACAACTTATAGGATAAAACGCCCTGGTCACGTGACATACACACACACGAGGTTATGATTTAATTGCTTCGCTTCGCTCCGCAATGATGTACTTTGTTCTCTTGATGATACTACACTCTAGTT